GGGTTGAGGGGAGCGGCAGAGAGGTTTGAATCTCAAGGGAATCCTGCTGGGAGCAGAAGCTTTGGGAGGGCAATGCAAAAGGTCAGCCAGAGAATTGACAACCCTCATCGGGGAACATCCAAGTACAGAGGCTCCCAGAATTGAAGGGAATCTCACCACCTACAAAAGGATGCCATAGAGAGCTGGTGCCTAGACACACTTCATGACTTTGAGCAGCCAAGAGGCAAACAGCTCCGGATGAGCAAAAAGTCTATTCCCCTTCTCCAACCCCTCCTCCCTGCATGGCCACTGGCGAACCTAAACCACTAAGAATGACCCATGGGAGGTAACAGAAGATGTTGTCATTGCTCAGAATGGCCCCACCTATAAAACTTAAATTCCAATGTTCCAGTCTGATCATCCCCCTAAGTTTCCTCCTGCCCCTTCATATTCCCTCCCTCCTGTTCCCCACCTCCAATCCCCAAGCAACCAATGATCTGCTTTGTGCCATTAGAGACTAGTTTGCATTTTCTAGAGAGTGTTATATAAATGGAATCAAACACTATGTACTCTTTCTTTTCTGGCTTCTTTCACTGAGCATAATTATTTCGAGATTCATCCACGTTGCTGGGTATATCAATAGTTCACTCCTTTTTATTGCTGAGTAGTATTCCATCATAGGGATGTACCACAATTTGTTCATTCATGCACTTATTAATGGATATTTGGGTTGTGTCCAGTTTGGGGCTATCATGAACAAGGCTGCTATGACTATTCATGTCCAGGTCTTTGTATGGTAAAAAAAAAAAAAGCTAAGGAGAGGATTGAATAGTCCCTACCCCACCTGCCAGTCCCCCATGTGCTCACCAAACTTGAGCTGGGGAGAGGGAAGAAGCATGTAGATTGGAGAGTCAATATTTTGTTTTGGACTGCAATGGACCTTTAGTAACAGTTCTAATGCCCAAAAGCATCCAGCAAGCTATGGATTCTGCCAGGTGGAAGGCAGTTGTCCTGGGGAGAGATGCTGTCAGAGGCAACAATGGAAAAACTAAAGCTGCTTCCGGATGGTAACTTCCAGACTGCTCAAGGCCAGAAAGACCTGCCCAGGCAGGAAGGAAGAGGAAGTATCTGTGAAGGAAGATGAGTCATGAGGAGATAGCATCTACGATACAGGGGAAGCCCTAAGTGAACTTGGATTGCAAAAGCCAAAGGGAAGCAGGACGGCAGCTTGCCAGAGAAACCCACACACATCCACACACCCAGCCAGCCACTCGCCCACCTGCCCCTCCAACCACACCCACAAAACCCAACACCCATGTCCTACGGCTCTCACATGCAGCAGCTACGTTCTCACCCAGGAAGCCTGCTTCAGGGTCTATGAGATGCTGTGATAAATCCCCCATCCATAGACTTTCAGAGCTGAAAAAGCCCTGGAGGAAAGGAAGGAAACAGACCTAGAGAGATGAACTGACCTGCCCAAGGCCACACAAGATAGGATCAGAAAAAAATCTGATTTCTGCCCCAGTACACCCATCACTCTAACACTGGCTCTCCATTCAGAGACATTGTTAGATATATTAACAAAATACTAGGTGCCAAATGACGATTCTAAAAGCAACTATTTGATAAAGAAAAGCAACAACTGCAGCACATGCATGTGGTGCCTGGTTATGAAGAGGACTACCACTGGTCTCTAAGGCGCGGGTCACCAAATAAAGGCTGTTAAGAAACTGTTTGCTTCCTTTCCAGTGAATGTCCTGAGTGCTTATCTGTGCACCAGTCCTGGGTGCTTCTGGTCTAGCCAGTCACCTGTGCACCAGCTGCTTGGACTCCCCTGGGCTTTATCATACTTCCTTGGCAGGTACAAGAAACTCTCACATCAAGATATTTTTCATAATCAAGATTTCTCTGACCTGGAACTGAACCATCAATTCAGGATGGGCCTGAGGCTTCTGAAGGCTTCATACCTGTGAACTATATAGTACTTGTATTGAAGTGACAACGAGTGCTCCTCTATGCAGCAAGAAGGTCCTCTCAGCTCAGAAAGACCACACATAGCAGGGTGAAGAAGGAAGGGGACACTCACCTAGTCAGCAGGACCTGCCCAACCAACCCTGGCAACTGGTGAGGTGACATCTGTCTAGCAAGACCCTCCAAGCAGCTGGAAGACAACTTAAGGGAAATCTATACCCAGTTTGTGTTTACTGAGCCCACTGGTTTTCTTAAAGTCTTCCTCTGCATAATTTGCTTGATCCAATATAAAGTTCCTTAGGACTCACCATATATGTCCCTTTAGTTTTTTTTACAACTTCATTTATTACTTCTGTGCAGTACAGATGCATCTCTTCATTTATTGTCAATCTTTAAATGGTCACTCCTACTGTTTTTGCATGACTTCTTTCCTTTTGACCAGGCAGGCCAAGTGCATGGTGGTTAAGATACAGGTTGTGGGGTCTAACGTCCCCAGCAGGCAGTTCCTGCCACGGACCTGCAAGTTAACCACCCCAGGAGGTATTTTATTTTGTCCATGCAGTGGAATGATCATCATCTCTCAAGGTTGTGGTAAAAATTATATTAGACAAGTTACATAGACTGAACATCTGTTGAGTGAACGGTAGAAGGATCACCTGAACTATTTAAATCTGCTTTTCTTTTCAGTTGCCTAGCTAGTAGAATTGAATATACACATGTTAAACGCATATAGGCCTCCACTGTATTTTAAAAAACTGGCTGCTCATAGCAGCATTATTTACAATAATGTTGTGGAAACACCCCAAGTGTCCATAGATGGATGAATGGATAAACAAAATGTGGTATATACACACAATGGAATATTATTCAGTTTTAAAAAGAAAGGAAATTCTGACACATGGATGAACCTTGCAGACGTTATGTTAAGCGAAACAGCCAGTCACAAAAGGACAAATACTATATGATGACATTTATAGGAGGTACCTAGAGCAGGCAAATGCATAGAGACAGAAAGTAGAATGGTGGTTACCAGGGACTGGGTGAGTGGGGGATGGAGAGTTATTGCTTAATGGGTACAGAGTTTCAGTTTTGCAATAGGAAAAAAGTTCTAGAGATGGATGGTGATGATGATTTCACAATAATGTGAATGAACTTAATGCCACCAAACTCGACACTTAAAAAAATGATTAAACTGGTAAATTTTACATTATACATATTTTACCACAATTTTTAAAAAAGAAAAAAAACCTAGCTGCTTCAACCAAATGCTGACAGAGTTGAGCAACTAGAGTTGTATATCTTTTCTACTGTTAAGCTTGTTTCTTTTAGACCAGTATGCTAAAATATATCGATATTCTGACATTTATTTTCATTATTCATTTTATTGTATCAATCAAATAATTTGACCTTAATTAAAATAGATCTGCTGCAATGAAATTATTAGCTTTGAAGATAAAAATTTCACCAGGAGAGCATGTTTTGATTTTATGAAGAGTCCAGAGGGAATAAAATTTACTATTAAAATATATTTTATGTTTTCCAGATCAAAACCTCTCCCCCAAAACAGTTAAGAGAAACACATGACCTAACATTTAAAAAATTTTTGGTAGCATATTTATCTCCCTAAGTGTTTCATTCAGATGAAGGTAAAAATGTATATTATTTTATAAATAAATATCTATTATCCATAGTAAGCAGAAGGCTTAGGTGTGAGGAGAAACTGGGCTAAGAAGAAAACTTAGTAGAAACAATCTACAAATAGTCAGAAAGCCATTAAAAACAAATATGTGGGAAATATGACAATAGTAACTACACAAGAAAAGCCTGTAGGGTGGGGAGTTAGGCAGAAAAGAAAAAGCGTGAACAAAGGGCACAGATTTAGGTAATAAGATAAAAGTCCTATAAATTCATTTTTCACACACTGCATTCAAGTCTGGCAAATTTTTTCTATAAAGAGCCAGAGAGTAAATATTTTCAGCTTTGTGGGCCATGTGGCCTTCTGTGGCAACTACACAACTCTGCCACTGTGACTGCAGTTTGAAAGCAGCCACAGATAATATGTAAACAAATGGCGAAGCTGTGATCCAATAAAACTTTATTTACAAAAACTGGCAGCAGGCCAGATTTGGCTTGAGGGCAGTAGTTTTCCAACCTCTAGTCTAGAGAAAAATAAATAAAAGGAGAATTTGGAACAAGGTATGTCAACGCATGGGCTAAAAATATTGTGGATTCCTATTCTACCCTTCAATGAACTTTCTTACCAAAGTTTTAATTGTCTCTCAGAGAAGAGGTAAATGGCTCGATAAACTAAAAAGTTTCTAATCGATTCCTCATTCTCATTAAAAATGGGATGATAGCCCACCCATATTAAAACACTCAGAATGCTCTTCTTTAAAAAAAATTTCTTAGTACTCAGAAGTGAGCTAACAAGAAACGTCCAATTCTTACTTCAGTTACCTCTAAGTTTTTTCACAGTTGATTCTCAAGATACAGAACAAAATCTGGGCCAGTAACTTCAAAACACACCACTGCCATAGAGGATGGTTATCGTCAAGATCCCCAAGGAATGTATGAACTATCTATAAGATGGGAAAATGTCTAAAAGGTACTTATTTTAATGTAAAAACAAGTGAAAAATCTACATGAAGAGCACAGTTGTGTAAAAAAGGAAAACACACATTCTCTCTCTTCTCCCACATTCACACCTGCATAAAGAAGGAAAATTTTTGGAAGGATATTCTTCTCACCTCTGAGAAGTAGGATTCTGAGTTTCAAAATATTTATGTCTTACTTTACGTTATTCTGTACTTTTACATTTCTCTTTTTACCATAAACATGTATAACTTTTAGTATTAAGATTTTTATGTTGAGATTGCAGTTAAAAGGTTTATCACCTTCATTATTGAGTCAATTTGAATACCAATATTTTTAACAAAAGAATATTCAAAAGACTTCTATCACCCATAAAGATCATTGCATAGTGAGAATATTTATATATACAATCCATGAGACATGGTCTTTAGGGGTAAAATTTCATGGTAGTACAATACCTCAGCTCCACCCATCCACTTTGGCTCATCAGGAAACTCAGCACACAAAACATCTTCTGACTGATCAGTCCCCAGGACATGGTAGCAGAGCTTTTGGTGGAGATTGGTGGATGTCTCTGTGCCTGAAGAAGTTAAAATTGTATACTGAAGTGCATTTGGCAATTTCAAGAAAATCTATTCCACCATATTGTACAATGCTAGAAACATTTAAAAAGTTAAGTATCTGGTTGCAGAATACAAGGTCAATATACAAACGTTAATTGCTTTCCTATATACCAGCAATGAACAAGGGGAAACTGAAACTAAAAGCACAATGCCATTTACATTAGTACGCCTCAAAATGGAATACTTAGGTATACATCTAGCAAAATATGTACAAGATCTGTATGAGGAAAACTAAAAAGCTTTGAGGAAAGAAATCAAAGAAGAACTAAATAAATGGAGAGATATTCCAAGTTCATGGATAGGAAGAGTCAATATTGTCAAAATGCCAGTTGTTCTCCAACTCAATGTATAGATTCAATAAAATCCCAATCAAAATCCCAGCAAGTTATTTTATGGATATTGACAAACTGGTTCTGAAGTTTATGTGAAGTGAAAAAAAAAACAAAACCCAGAATAGCCAATACAACATTGAAGGAAGAGAACAAAGCTGGAAGACTGATACCACCTGACTTCAAGACCTACTATAAGTAATCAAGACAGTGTGGTATTGGCAAAAGAATAGGCAAATAGATCAATGGAACAGAGCAGAGGGCTCAGAAATAGACCCACATAAATATAGTCAACTGATCTTTGACAGAGGAGCAAAGGTAATAAAATGGAGAAAAGATAGTCTTTTCAGCAAATGGTGCTGGAACAACTGGCCATCCACACGCAAAACAATTGAGACAGACCTTACACACCTCACAAAAATTAACTCAAAATGGATCACAGACCTAAATGTAAATGCAAAACTATAAAACTCCTAGGAGATAACATAGAAGAAAATCTAGATGACTTTGGGTTTGGCAATGACTTTTTAGGTATAAAACCAAAGGCACGATCCACGAAAGAAGAATTGATAAACTGGACTTCATTAAAGTTAAAACCTTCTGCCACAAGACTGGGACAAACCACAAAAAGACAACCCACAGACTGGGAGAAGATATTTGCAAAAGACATATCTGATAAAGGACTGTTATCCAAAATGTACAAAAAACTCTTAAAACTCAACAATAAGAAAACAAACAACCCAATTAAAAAATGTGCCAAAGACCTTAACAGACACCACATCAAAGAAGATGTACAGACGGCAAATAAACATATGAAAAGATGCTCCACATCACATGTCATCAAGGAAATGCAAATTAAAACAATGGGATACCACGACACACCTATCAGAATGGCCAAAATCCAGAACACTGACAACACCAAATGCTACTGAGGATGTGGAGCAACAGGAACTCTCATTCATTGCTGGTGGAAATGCAAAATGGTCAGCCACTTTGGAAGACAGCTAGGTGGTTTCCTATAAAATGAAACATATTCTTACTACATGATCTAGCAATCATACTCCCTGGTATTTACCCAAAGGAGTTGAAAACTTATGTCCACACAAAAACCTGCACATGGATATTTATAGCAGCTTTATTTATAGTTGCCAAAACTTGGAAGCAACCAAGATGTCCTGCAGTAGGTGAATGGATAAACAAACTGTGCTACATCCAGACAATGGGAAATTATCCAGTGCTAAAAAGAAATGAGCTATCAAGCCATGAAAAGACATGGAGGAAACTTAAATGCATATTACTAGTGAAAGAAGCCAATCTGAGAAGGCTATATACTGAATGATTCCAACTATATGACATTCTGGAAAAGGCAAAACTATGGAGATGATATAACATATCAGCGGTTGCCAGGGGCTAGTGGGGAGGGAGGATAAAAGGCAGAACATAGAGGATCATTAGAGCAGTGAAACTACTCTGAATGATACTACAATGGTGGGTACATATCATTATACATTTGTCCAAATCCATGGAATGTACAATACCAAGAGTGAACTCTAATGTAAACTATAGTTTTTGGGTGATTATGATGTGTCAATGTAGGCTCATCAGTTGTACCACTCTGATAAGAGATATCAAATTAGGGGAGGCTACACATGTGCAGGGGGAGGGGGTGTATGGGAAATCTCTGTACCTTCTGTTCAATTTTGCTGTGAACCTAAAACTGCGCTAAAAGAAAAAGTCTATTAAAAAAAAAAAGTTAAGTATCAGGTGGGTGTCACCCGGAGGTAATTCATACATATTTGCTGATTTTGGAGGCTGCTATGAGATAGAACTACTTTTTTTTCATTATAAAAATGTACCAAGCTTTCAGGACAATGAAGAAAAAGAGTAAGATAATACCATAATATAAAAAAAGCTTTAAGGTACTTGGTGATTTTCCGTGGGTTTTCCAGGAACACTGGTAAGAAACTTAGCTTCATTCATAAGTCCCTCCCTCGCATAGGCTGTTGAGGTCCTCTCAACAAAAAGGCAGCAAAATACAGCTGGGGGAAGATGTTGGCTTTCTTAAATCAATTACAATTACTAATCATTACCACTTTTGCCACTGAAAGCTAAGGATAAATAATAACTTTCATGTTTTTCACAAGTTAACACTGTTCTCTAACAAGAAATAGCCAGTTACATACTTTTTTGGTCTCCCAGAACTTGGAAATAACCAATATTTTCTAACTCGGGGGCACTCTTAACACAGGCAGCTAATTCAGTGTACAGAGCACAGAGGTCTTTCTTTAGTCAACATCCTTGAATAAAGAGCCTACTCTTAGCTTCTCTTGCAGCTCATTGGTGAATTAAGAAGGTACTGTAGTAGTCTAATCAAAAGGCAGCAAAAGCTAAAAATAGCCAAAAGAGATGAAAAGCCTTGTAGCCTTATTCCCAATTCAACTGGGGGGGCAGTCAGAAAAGAAAGAAAGCATCTCTAAAGATGACAAAGATACAGCAAGTCATGAAAAGGGGACAGTACGTGCAGTAGAAAGCACTGGAGTAGCTGTGCTTCTTGCCAGCCCCAGGCCCTGCAGCAAGGAACTCAGACTCTGCACCCCAGCTCCAGATCTCCAACAAAGGGATCATAAAACCCACCTGTAGAGACCAACCAAGATAACATGAAAATGCTAGAAGCCACGTGGAAATATGGGGTGGCATAAAGAAGAAGATGATGTAGACAGCTTGTACCAGCAGGGTATAAGGTGCAGGGCCCTTCCTGTCTGGGAAGATGAGGAGTGAAGGCAGAAAGAAAGAGGGACCACTTGAACACAATAGGATCTTTGTGCAATTGAAGGGGAGAAGAGCAAAGGCGTGTCCTGGAAATTAACAAGGAGAAAAATCTCAAGATCAGTGCAACCAACAGGTGATCTGCAACTTCTCATCAGGGGAAGAGAGATGATTACTGCAATAGGAAAATTTTAAAATCAGTCAACATCATTAAATAATTTGGTTTTATGAAGAAAATCCATCTTCTCCATGATCCTCTTGGGAGATGTAACACATCTGTGAAGGACTAATGGCAATAATGGCCACAATTTTTCACAGTTCCCTATATCTGTTTCCCCAGCCCTTGAACAGGGGCTGGCCCCATGACTTGCTTTAGCCAACAGAATGTAACAAAGTGATGTTATGACAGCAGCAAGTCTAGGCATCAAAGAGGTTGTGCCTTTTGGCTCTCCCCCTTGGAATCCTGCTGAGCTGCCATGCAAACAAGCCCAGGAAAGCCTGCTAGAGGATGAGAGACTACATGGAGCAGAGCCGAGGCTCCAGACACATGAAGGAGTCAAGCCAAGATCAGCCAACTAACCTGCAGCTGACCACAGATACATGATAGAACTCAGCTGTGTAAACCCAGAAGCACTGCTTGGCCAGCCCATAGACTCACAAGCAAAAATAAATGGTCATTATTCTAAGCCACTAAGTTTTGGGGTGATCTGTTACACAACAAAGCTAAATGACACAACGTCCTTTGAGGAATCTTGCCTCTACACCAAGCAATCTCTATTAGGGTTTAGCTTCTCTTTTCAAGTCATGTGAGTCACACTTCTATTCCATGAAAAAGATGCTTGCATCTGAAGTCTTAACTTACCATCACTTTTTCCATCCTGTTGGGGGTATGAGTTGTAGAACATTCCCTTCCCATCATGGGTCCAGGCCATACAGCTGAACTTGACTCTTTCAAGCACATCTGGAAGCTCTTTGGCACCATCGACCTTCATGAACTTGATCGTCACCCAGTCTGAGCCACTGGCACTCAGACCATAGGCAAAATATTCACCATCTTCACTGAATGCATAGCCTATGGGACATGGGAGAAATCATCAAACAGTGAACACGGAGACACAACTCCTTGCCTTGCCCACTGCCCTCTTTGCTGTCTGACCAAGCTCTCTGTCAAACATGAGGCAGAATGCAGCAAATGAAGGAGAAGGAAATATAGTGAGGAAATCTGGGGTCTGAGCCCAGGTCTTACAGGAATTTGCCTGATGACCTTGGACAAGTGTCCAAACCTCTCCAGGTCTTAGTTTCCTCATCTGTAAAATGAAGTACAGTCATGCGCCGCATAACAACATTTTGGTCAACGACAGACCACATATACGATGGTCCCATGAGATTAGTACAATATAGCTTAGGTGTGTAGTAGGCTATACTACCTAGGTTTGTGCAACTACACTCTATGATGTTCGCACAATGATGAAATTACCCAACAACACATTTCTCAGAATGTATCCCCATTGTTACACGATGCATGACTGTACTGGATTATATGACCACTAGGATGCTTCCATTTTTAAATTTCTATAACTCAACAGGCAGTTCACTTGAAAGCAGAGCTCCTCTGGGACTTTTGGCGTATTTTATTTATACTCTAAAGGGAATGAGGGGAAAAAGGAATAAGGAAACTGCATATAGAGTAATGACAATTATGATGCATTCTATGTAACAGAACTAAACTGGGGCCATTAGGTAATTTTTGGAATGGATGCCAAACTATTTGAAATCATTCTTTACAACCTCATTTTCTGATCAGTGCTAGCACTCAGGGATTAACACCCACACCATCTGACTACCACGAGCCCAGGTAAATAAAGGCAGAGGGTTGGCAGTGAAGGATGACACCATGCACGTTCCAAAAATGACATGAAAAAGAAAGAAAAGCCACAGTCTAGGGACTGTTCCGCCGTGTCCAATTCTTCAGGGTCATGACAGAACACTGAATCACTATGGAATGTTTCCTGACAAATATTTACATGTTTATATATGGACTTTTATAATTATGAAGTATATATAGCATTTAATATGAGACACTGACACATGAGATTTCCTCACATGATGGAAGTTTGCTAAACTTTACTGGGGGTTGAAAATTATTCTAAGAAACCCAACTATTTTCAGAGGTTTTCTACTATTTTACATGGAATCTCTATTAATGGGAAATATGTTTAAGATTTCACAAAGCCTACTTGTTAATCGCTTATAATTCCTATAGGGTATCCAGGCTCAGATGTATGTAAATGCAGAAAAGAGTCTAGAAGGTGATGGGGAGAAAATATTCACTTTTTACTCTACATAACACTGTACTATTTGGATTATTTATATATAATTAGAAAATTTTCAGGAAAAATTTAAATAAAACATTTTGATTTAAAATATATGTTTCAAAAATCATATACTACAAACGAATCTGAATGTTTACCCATACTCTATCTTCCCTATAATACCGTTCTCAGAAAACTCAAAGATTGAGGCCCGGTCCCACGTCTAATTTACTTTTTCATCCATCAGGGCCTGTACATGGCAAGCATTCCATAAAACAGTTACTGGAATGTACTCCGAGAGCAAGAGATGAGACTCTATCACCATGAAGTCCTTCGGGATGAGCTGCAAGACAGACCTTTGTGAAAACGAAATGAATTCTTATACAGGGCACATTACTGCACAGAACCACTGTATTAAATTCAGTTACAACTCTAAGCTTAAATTTTAATCATGGAAGAATACTCTTACAAGCTGGCACCTTATTTTCAATACTGATTACTTTTAATACTAATTAGACAAAAGATCATCATTTACATACACAGCCTATTTGGGGAGAGGAGGAGGGGAACCACTAAATGACTGAATGCCTTTATGAAAGGGTCTTTGCACACACAGATCTGTTGGGACAGGGCTCTTTAATTCTGGCCTAATCGATTACAGGACTTCAGTGTTGCAATTGCTCAGTTTTGCAGGGCTGAACATACATCTGTGCTTTTTCCATAAAACAGAAGAGGCTACACGGGAAATGCTGAGGCAGCTTCACTAAAAACAGCTAGGATGCTAACAAGAGATGATTCTCAGAGTGTACAATTATTAAACCATAGAATAAGAGAACAGCCTACTTCCTTACCCTAGAACTAGTGCTTATGGTACAAACCTGGGATAATCTTTATGGCCTGTAGAGGAGGTTATCTTAGGAGCAGAGTTATTTAGGATACACACAGCAACTGCAGGCAAATTTATCTATTCAGTTTTTAAACTTGAAGCTTCAGGGGACAGGGTACCAAGTTGTCTCATTTCTACAAGATTGTGTTTCATACTTTTTTTTGTGTGTGTGTGAGGAAGGTCAGCCCTGAGCTAACATCTGATGCCAATCCTCCTCTTTTTGCTGAGGAAGACTGGCCCTGAGCTAACATCCGTGCCCATCTTCCTCCACTTTATACGGGATGCCGCCACAGCATGGCCTGACAAGCGGTGCGTCGGTGCGCGCCCAGGATCCAAACCCGGGCCGCCAGCAGCGGAGCACGTGCACTTAACTGCTATGCCATGGGGCCAGCCCCGTGTTTTATACTTTTAATTCTAAGAGACTAACAATTAACCAAATTTTAAAACTCTATCACTTTTTTCCCCCAAGGAAACAGATCTCATAAATATTCCTTCCTGTTTTATATTTATAGTTGGAACATTCTTTGTACTGGTTAAATTACTTATAGAAGAGGATTAATTTTTTTCCAACCACAGATAGATCTCAGGGATGTTATAGAAAATGCTGATGATACTTTAAGATCCCAAAAGCTCTAGAAGCTAAATTGGGTCCACTGTGAATTATTCCCCAGTTCTGCTTCATGCCATCAGAAGAACATGTGACTACTCATGTGTTCTAAAGATACTGTGCAAAAATTAGCTTTCCTGATACTGAGTGTGCATCTGTTCTACAATATGGTCCACATTCTGTCTGGTATTTCAGAGATGAGGCGACTGCACCAATGTCAGAGCTGCAAGTGGGAGCCCTGGGACTTCCATGGGCCTGGCCGCGAAGCACTCACCTCGGAGCGCCACCGTGCCATCATCGGAGAGTATGTTGGGGTCGAGGAACACCCTGGCTTCACTCTCTAAGGAATCCTGTACATATAATACTCGTTGGTTCTGCAAACCTGTATTGTAAAAATAGAAATACCTGGGGAACAGAGACGGCCTTTATTTAGCTGTGGAGTTTTTTATTTGTGGAGTAAAACCAAATGCATATAAGCAGAAAGAAAAAGAAAAACCACCAACAAAGCTACAGCTGCAAACAGGTCATGCCAGGGCCATGGGGACTAGAGTGGAAGGTCCCACAGTCTCCCTGTACCTAGAGTTTGTTACCTGAATTGCTTTAGATACTCAAATAATTTATTGTAATTCTGCACATTAGCTAAATAGAGACAAATAAAGACTGCTTTATTTGCTAAAATTAAAACTGATATTCAAATAAAGCAGTCTTTATTTGTCTCTATTTAGCTAATGGAGAAGAAAGTAGATTTTCTAAAATGAAATGCTGGTTCCCTTCCCTAGGCAAGCTGCTAGGGGAGGGGTCGGTAAACCTTTTCTGTAATGGGCAAGACTGCAAATATTTTAGGCTTTGAGGGCCATACAGTCTCTGTTGCTATACTCAACTCTGAAGTTGTAGTACAAAAGCAAGTCATATGTTGCTTAATAATGGGGATACATTTTGAGAGATGCATCGTTAGCTGATTTCATTGTTGTGCGAACATCATGGAGTGTACTTACACAAACCTAGATGGCATAGCCTACTATACACCTAGGCTATCGGTACTAATATTATGGGACCACTGTTATATACGTGGTCCCTTGTTGACCGAAACATCGTTATGTGGTGCATGACTGTACATAAATGAATGGGCATGGCTGTGTGCCATTTAAACTATTTACAAAACCAGGCGCAGGCAGGGTGCGACATGCAGATCATACTCTGCTGATCCCTGTATGGGGGGGACTAAGAAATTCTAAGGTAAATTTGTGATGGTGGTTCCAAAGAGACTTAAAAAAAGAACAAGAGAATATGTTTAAATGAGTGTGAAAGGGAGAGGTGAATTAATAGATGCCACCTCTTGGCCTATTTCCATTCTTGGATGGAAGAAATGTACATAATAAAATCTTTTCAAGTAGTATAAGCCAAAGATAATTAATTTTAGAGGAAAACAAACCTCCATTGCTTTCTATGAATCATCCTATCTCACTAATTACTAGCCATAAGACAACAATAATTTCCTACAATCTACATTTCTTCCTACGACATACCTGTAGTAAATTTCTTAATCCTTTTTAAAGAATTTGGACAATAAACCAAAAAATACTATTCTCATAATCAAGCATAGAAATGAATTGATTTTATAACGAATTAATTTTATAAACTAAGTTATTTAGAATTTGTGTTTTAAAATTTAAGAAAGCATTCAATCAGAAAAGTAAAAAGAAAATTGAATGAGAGCACCCTCTCATACCGTTTTCCTTTCCTGAAGTGGCAACTGTACTTGGGATAGTCATACAGTTCAGTCATTCTCTCTTTGTATAAACCTCTGATAGGGCACTGCTCGAGAAATGGCACAGTAATCTTGTTCTGAGCCTCCACGAAAGCCTGTAGAGAAAATTTAAATGGACAAAGCAAGTCAAATATAACATTATCTGTTATCCACTAATATGTATCAGTGAGATCCAGCAATTCCACTTCTAGGAATATATCCAAAGCAAACAAAAACACCATGTCAAAGGGATACCTGCTTCCCCATGTTCACAGCAGCTTTAGTTACAATAGCCAAGACATGGAAACCACCTAAGTGTCCACTGATGGATGAATGGATAAAGAAAATGTGGTGTACACACACACACACACACACACACACACACACACAATGGAATATGATTCAGCCATAAAAAAGGAGGAGACTCTGCCCTTTGCGGTAACATGTACGGAGGTTGAGGGCATTATGTTAAATGAAATAAGTCAGATGGAGAAAGACAAATACTGCATGATCTCAATTATATATGGAATCTAAAAGAAAAAAAAACTCATGGAAAAAGAAATCAGATTTGTGGTTATCAGAGGGCGGGAGCAGGGGGAGGGGGAATTGGAGGAAAGTGGTCAAGAGGTACAAACTTCCAGTTATAAGACGAACAAGTACTAGGGATGTAATGTACAACATGATGACTATAGTTACCACTGCTGTATGGTATACAGGAAAGTTGTTAAGAGAATAAATCCTAAGAGTTCTCATCACAAGGAAAAAAATTTTTTTTCTTTTTCTTTTTTTGTATCTATATGAGATGATAGACGTTAACTACATTTATTGTGGTAATCATTTCATAGTATATGTAAGTCAAATCATTATGCTGTATACCTTAAACTTACACAGTGCTGTGTTTAATAATAGCTCAGTAAAACTGGGGGGAGGGGGAAGATTGAAAAATACATATCAGCAAAAGTCTATTTTCCCTCAATAAATAATAATAACTAATACTTGCATGGCACTAACGATGTACCAGGCAAGTATTAACTCTTTTAGAACTCATAATCCTATGGAGAAGGTTCTTTTACCAGCCTACCTTTAATGATGAGAAAACTGAGTCAAAGAGTGGTTAAAATGTTGCCCAACATCATGCAGCTAGGAATGGCAGAGCTGGCTCCTGAATCTATGTTTATTTATTTATATTTTTGGTGAGGAAGGTTGTCGCTGAGCTAACATCTGTGCCAATCCTTCTCTACTTTGTAAACGGGATGCCACTACAGCTTGGCTTTGATGAGCGGTGTATAGGTCCGCACCCAGGATCCGAACCTGCGAATCCCCGGCTGCTGAAGCGGAGTGTGCAAACTTAACCACTACGCCACTGGGCCGGCACCTGAATCTATGCTCTTAACAAACACCCTATACTGCTGCTCAGATCACCACTGTTGATAAACTACATTGACACTGTGCCAAGGTTCCAGGCTTCTTAAGTCAGCAGCCGGTGATCCCAAAAGATGTCCGAGTTAAAGAAATAAAGTTAGAGATACCTAAGGCAATTTTATCAATTTTGCTTTTCACTTACTATCTTTCTAAGATCTACTACCTTTAAAATTCAAAGAACTTTGAAAATTTTGAAACTAAAGAATATTAAAAAAAAATTGTAAACTGGGTGGCATTTATAAGAATATCAACAACAATGGTTTATAAGAAGGGTAAGAGGTGGCCTGCAGGACGTCAGGAGACCCTGGCCGCAGGGGCAGGGGTAGCTTTTACAACAGATCAGTTATATCCAAGCATACCCTATCTGTAACTAAGCAGTTAGAAAGTTTATAATACTACAAAAACTTGGCCTCAAAATAATTTACATGTGGCTATTAGTAAGAAATGAAACAAGAATAAACATATCAGCTGTAAAGTCCATTGAATGTTTAATCAGATGTCTATAAATAGGAAAACCCTCAGGAGAAAACTTCATGAAATTAACAAGATATTTTGAACAGCAGACAAAAATGCATTATTTTCAGAGTCCACTTTTGGATGGATCATCCAGGTCAAAGGGCTCATTCCAGCTCAAAATGGTCTTTAAATGGGCTCTCCTACACAAACCATCAACCCCGCTCTGGAGAACCATGATTCTACATTGACAGAAAGCTGTTCTAAAACTCATTAATGTTTATAATGCACTTGAAAACAAGAGAGAAAGAGTATAAAGTATGAACACAATGATGAACAACATTTTTTGCAAGAAGATCAATTCAAGAAAAATAAAATTGCTATGGGTCACATTTCTTATCTCATTCAAACAGAAAATAAAATTTACCAAGTCCCACGGAAATACAATTCCAATTGCCCATTGCTAGGAATTGGCGCACTTCACCCTGGCCTGCTTTCCTATGGCGCTCAAGCCAAGAAAATTTTTATATTTTTAAAGAGTTAGGGGAGAAAAACACGAACAGAGACCTACATGGCTCACAACATCTAAAATATTTAATATGTGGCTCTTTACAGAAGTTTGCTGACCCCACTCTATCTCATTAAAATGAGTGTGAACAAGGAAACTGGTTTCTGTTTTTCAGTTACAAAATTGATGCACAGCTGCAAAGCCACTGAGGGGGAGCATTTTGGAGACCACCAAGTGTGTGTGAGAGCATTACCTGATTTTAGGCAGGCAGGAAATGCCATGCCTACTTTAGTGACATGGAAATGGAGGCGTGCAGTATTGAAGTCACCTGGTCAAGGTCATGCAGGGAGTGGGCAATAGCGCTGAAGCTAGAATTACTTTCTTCTAGTCATTCTAACAGTGACTGAGGCTGACTCAGTGCCCGATACTGGACGTGGAGACAAAGCAGACCCACCCAGGGGGGCAGCCTGGGCCTCCTATGATTTTCTTCCGCTTATGTTGGGCTGAGCTGGGCTGAGCAGGCATGTCAGGGTGCTGGAGCATCAACAAGGATTTAATATGAACCTAGTGTGTGTCAGCACCAATCCTGGCATTGTGGATGGAGGGCGACAAGTCCAAGACGAGATCCCTGTCATTGTGGAGCTAACATTCCACCAGAAGAGACAAAGCACAAGCCAGAGGGTTGAGAACGGTTAGTCATCACCACCACACAGCGGCTACTCAAAGTAGCATCCAGAACCTGCACTGGTCCTCAACTGTTTGCTACCGGCCCACGACGAGACGAATACAGAAACTGAGAGGCAGCGCTATAAGAAATTTGACGTTGCTGTGACGTCTTGGTGATATTTTACAAAAACATCAATCCACAAAGGTTTGGAAATTTAAAAAACAGTTGTTGACCACAGATCCTGGGAAACACCAGGAGGGAGGACGCTTACTTCCAGCAGGGTGGCCAAGGAGGCCCTTGGGAGGTTTTGAATTGAGGTCTGATAGGAGAGAGGGAGCAGCCATGCTAAGACGGGAAGGGCGTTCTGGGCCGAGGAAACAGCAGGCGCAGGGCCCTGGGGGTTGGAGGCGGCGGCGTGAAGGAGCGCAGGATCAGTGAAGCTGGGAATGAGTGAGAGAGGAAGCCCCGGCCACGGCAGAGCCAGGCAGGAGCTGGGTCATAAGCACCTGGGGGGCAGATATCAAGTTTAAATCTTCATTCTAAGTGCAAATGAGCTACGACTGGGTAAGAAGATAGTTATATAATCCAGTCTACCTTTTAAAAAGACTACCCTTGCTTTGGGTGAAGGACAGACGATAGGCGAGCCAAAGTGGAAAGAGGGAGGTCAATTAGGAAGCTGGGCCAGTGGTCCAGGGATTGACACGGCCAAGTGGAAAAGCGTCTCTGAAAGGAGTGGGAACGACCACTGTAACAGGAGCGAGGACAGAGGAAATGGGCACAGTGCACGTTAGTGTGTAGATTTGATGGCTATTTCCCAAAAGAGCCTCACCAGAACATTTTAGCTACTTGGGGTTCCCACTCTGAGACCCCAGCATGCTGAGGGTCTTGGTTGGCCCTTTCTCTTCCAATGGGGGGGTCCTCTGAGGAGGGAGCCCTGCAGACTTCCTTTCCCTAATTCTTCTGATCCGTGTTTGTATGAGGCTGCATCTAGGCCTTGCCTTATCCTGGCTCTAGGAGGACCACGGTGGGTCCGAGAGTCACAGGCTGCTCAGCGCATTCCCGTGGAAAGGCGGAACTGTGTTCTCCAATTGTTTCTCTATTTCCCTCTGCTTCTTTCAGATGTCTCATGGTACAACCACCACTGCTGCAACAGAATCCATCTCTCGCTAAAGCAGATGCTTTGGCTTTTCTTGTTTCAAATGTTCATAAAACCATTACGCCACGCATAATAATGCTACTAAATAACTAAATAATTCTAGGATTGTTACATCCAATTTTGTCACCTCCCACCCACAAATGTTAGTCAATTACTCTTTGAGTAGTATTTAAAGACTGCGCTCTTTCAACTCAAACATCTAGACGCAAAGCCAAACAACGTTCCAATTCCTAGAAGTCTCAAATTCTTTCATAACATACATCTTCATAACCTGGGCAAATCCTTGTCATGAAGGCATTGGCAAATTTTCTGTAAAGAGGTTTTGTGAAATTTAGGGTTCCACAGAATGCCAATATATTTTATTTCTGATATTTTATATTTAATACTATTTCTGATATATTAACCAGGAAAATAGCTTCTTGGTCATTTACAGATTTAATAGTCTGGCTTCTTGGCCTAAAAATTAGAACAAATTTGGGGGAAAGGGAGAAAAGGTATAAGCATAAAGAAAAAAAAACTGGAGGAATTGGTCAAGAGGCAGGGTGAGGAGAATTAAAATTCTTTGTCCCTCAAGAGTTTCAGCATCCACGCTCACACTCCAGGAAATTAATATAAAATAACTGAAACCTGAAAGCCCATTAATGACACCCACAGCTGAGCCTCTAAAGAGGATCAACCGTTTAGATTTTATAGCTATGGATGAATCTGAACACATTTTCCTAAGAATAGCTGCTCAAAACTATAATTCTAGTCATATATATATATAATATAAAATTCTATTCATCTCATTTTGCCTTGACTATTAGAACATTCAAAGCAAAGCAAAGTTCCAGTTATGCAAGATGATTAAGTTCTAGAGATTTGCTGTACAACATTGTGTCTATAGTTAACAATACAGTTTTGTACACAT